ACTTTCTTCTTTAAACCTGTCAAAATGTTGTGGGTTATGCCCACATGCCCAGTGTTTCCCTCTGGTTCATCTTTGCCAAGATGCTACAATATCAATCAGTAAAAGAGTTACTGAGTAAATGTGACATATTTATTAATGACCATTGGGCTTATTTGGGATGAATGTCACATTAAATGGTATAAACATACTGAATTCTGACCTATATATATATATATATATATATATATATATATATATATATAACCCTGTTCCAAAAAAGTTGGGATGCTGTGCAAAATGTAAATAAAAACAGAATACAATGATGGGCAAATCATTTAAACCCTATATTTCATTGACAAAAAGACAACATATCAAATTAGATTCACCAACCTACCACAGTATGTGAGGGCACAGGACTGTGTGTCTGACATGGTGTTCACTCTTCCTTACTGTTCCTCTTCACCCTGTACACTGTAGACTTCATGTACAGCTCACCAACTGCCATCTACAGAGGTTCTCTGATTACTCAGCAATCATCGGACTCATTACAGATAAGAACGACAAAGAGTACAGAAAACTGACCCAGGACTTTGTGGACTGGTGTCTGAAGAACCAACTCCTGATCAATGCGGGGAAAACCAAAGAGATGGGGGTGGATTTTCAGAGACACAGTAACCTCCTTCCACCAGTGAACATCCAGGGAAGGGACACTGAAAGAGTGGACTCTTACAAGCAACTGGGTTTCCACCTTCCACCAAGACTGGACTGCACTTTATAGGAAAGGCTAGAGCAGACTCTACCTGCTCAGAAGACTGAGGTCGTTTGGAGTACAGGGGGCACTCCTGAGGACCACCATTTTGGCATCAGCCATCTTTTATGGAGTGGTCCGTTGGGGGTAATATTATTCAGTACCTTATGTGCAATACTCGTTACAGTGCAATATCCTTACAGTGTAAATACTTTTGCTTTTATTTATTTATAATTCTTTATATTGTTCATATTTGTGAAGGAAAGAATTTATATTTTTATCTTATTTTTTACTTTTAGTACTATATATATTGTCTATAAAGTAACAAGTAACAAACGGTAAAAACTTTGTTAAGTAATTCTCTTCTTGTTACTTCTTTGCTTTTCTTGAGTGCCTTGCTTCCCTTTGCTTTTGTAGCACTGAGAATTTCCATGTTGTGGAACTAATAAAGAATTATCTTATCCTATCTTACCTTTTATCAAATTTTGAAACTGAGATATTTTATTATTTTTTGAAAAACATCAGACAAGATTGTTACACCAAGATGGTGCCGAGTATGGCTGCTGTGATGCAATCTCCCGAAAATCACCGAAAATCAGACTTTGAGTTTTGGAACGCAGATCCATTGTTTGGGAACATCGAAGAGGCCCCATTCATCTGGGCTGACCGACTGAGGAAATGCCGCAGATTTTGGAAAAGGGGCAGGAGAGTCAGCGTTCTAGTCAGGCTGAGACGGTGTGCTAACCGCCTCCCACTCCCCAGCATAGTACTGGCAAATGTACAGTCCCTGGACAACAAAATCAGGGAACTCAGGGCATGGATCTCTTTCCAGCAAGAAACACGAGACTGCTGTATAATCTGCTTTAAATCAAGAAACTTGGATGAGTATAAAAAAGCCAGCTATGGTCTCTGTAAGACCATAAGAGCAGCCAATCATGAGTATAGGGCTAAAGTCGAATCACAGTTCAACACCACCAACACACAAAGACTATGGGAGGGGTTAAACACAATAACAGGAAGAGGGAAACTTGTTGTGGGAATAACATTAGTGCTACGTTTCCAGGTTTCCAGTGAAATACTTTCTACACCCACATCCTCAGAACATTTTACACATGTACTGTGGAGAGCATTCTAACAGGCTTCATCACCACCTGGTATGGAAACTGCACTGCCATCGAGGAGAAAGCTCTGCAGAGGGTAGTGTGGACAGCCCAGCACATCACCGGGGTCCAGCTCCCAACCTCCTAAATTTATACACCAGCCACTGCCTGAGGAAGACCGGGAGGAACCTAAAGAACTCCACCCTCCCAAGCAAGTCTGTTCCCACAGCTGCCGAGCAGGAGGAGGTACAGAAGCATAAAGTCCAGAACCAGATGGTTCCGAGTTTCTTCCCCCAGGCCATCAGGTTGCTTAACAGCCAGAAGTGCTGGTGTATCAGTCTATGGGTCTGTCACTACATCTCTGAGTTATGCAGTGGTGTAAAGCGCCGCCACTGGACTCTAGAGCAGTGGAAATGTGTTCTCTGAAGTGATGAATACGCTTCTCCGTCTGGCAATCTGATGGACGAGTCTGGGTTTGGCAGTTGCCAGGAGAACGGTACTTGTCTGACTGCATTGTGCAAGTGTAAAGTTTGGTGGAGGGGGATTATGATGTGGGATTGTTTTTCAGGAGTTGGGCTCGGCCCCTTAGTTCCAATGAGAGGAATTCTTAATGCTTCAGCAGACCAAGAGATTTTGGACAATTTCATGCTCCAAACTTTGTGGGAACAGTTTGGGGACGGTCCCTTCCTGTTCCAACATGATGTCCATAAAGACATGGATGAGTGAGTTTGGTGTGGAAGAACTTGACTGGCCTGCACAGAGTCCTGACCTCAACCTGATAGAACACCTTTGGGATGAATTAGAGCGGAGACTGCAAGCCAGGCCTTCTCAACCAACATCAGTGTCTGACCTCACAAATGGGCTTCTGGAAGAATGGTCAAAAATTCCCATAAACACACTCCTAAACCTTGTGGAAAGCCTTCCCAGAAGAGTTGAAGCTGTTGTAGCTGCAAAGGGTGGGCCAACATCATATTAAACCCAATGGATCAAGAATGGGATGTCACTCAAGTTCATATGTGTGTGAAGGCAGACGAGCGAATACTTTTGGCAATATAGTATATATATATATATATATATATATATATATATATATATATATATATATATATATATATATATATATCTGAGGCAGATTAATGAGATGCAGGGTATATATATATATATATATATATATATATATATATATATATATATATATATACCCTGCATCTTATTTATCTGCCTCAGACTCACAAATTGCATTTGAAAAGTGGAAGCATTTAGGAACCACAGCACCTCAACCAGGAAGATGTTACAGAGCGGGTCGCCGAGTGCTGAGGCATATATTGCATAAAAGTCTCCAACACTTTGCTGACTCAATAACTGCAGAGTTCCAAACCTCCTCTGGCATTAAGATCAGCACAAAAACTGTGCGCCGGGAGCTTCATGGCGGGATTTCCATGACCGAGCAGCTCCATGAAAGCCTTACATCACAAAGCACAATGCTAGCCGTTGGATGGAGTGGTGTAAATCACACCGCCACTGGACTCTGGAGCAGTGGAAGCGCATTCTGTAAAAAAGTGACGAATCACACTTCTCTATCTGTCAGGCTGTTGGACGAGTCTGGGTTTGGTGAATGCCAGGAGAACAATACCTGCCTGACTGCGTTGTGCTGTCAAGCTTGGTGGAGGAGGGATATTGTTGTGGGATTGTTTTTCAGGGGTTGGCCTAGAACCCTTAGTTCCAGTGAAGGAAAATCTTAATGCTACAGCAACAAAGACATTCTGGACAACTGTATGCTTCCAACTTTGTGGGAACAGTTTGGGGAAGAACGTTTTCTGTTCCAGCATGACTGAGACCCAGTGCACAAGGCAAAGTCCATAAAGTCATGACTGGGTGAGTTTGGTGTGGAAGAACTTGACTGGCCCTCACAGAGGCCTGACCTCAAGCCCATCAAACACCTTTGGGATGAATTAGAATGGAGATTGTGAGCCAGGCCCTCTCGTCCTACATCAGTGTCTGACCTCTCAAATGATCTTCTGGATGAATGGGCAAAAATTCCCACAGACACTCTCCAAAATCACAGGGGGACCAACTTTATATGAATGCCTATGGATTTAAAATGGGATGTCATAAAAGCTCCTGTAGACGTCCCAATACTTTTGCCCTTATAGTACATATATATGTACACATACGTATGTGTATATACAAATATATGTACTTCCTTTTTGTCGTTCCTGAAGCTGAAATGCATGGTAATTTTTTCATTTGTAAACTATTTATAATGGAAGCCTTTGCACAAAGATCCTTTCTTTTGTATAAGAAGAGCAAAACCTGGACCTCTGAGCAATGGAAGAAAGTAAAATGGTCTGAAGAGTCAACTTTAATCACTTTCTGCCATATTCATGGTTTGGCTTTGGAGAAAACCACAGCTCTTATCAGCTGTTAAACATGGTGGTGAACCCATAACGGAATAATCTCACAAGAGTCAATGAAGATGATTGATCTGCATTGTTGGAACTGCCAAGAATTCAAGTCCTGGTGGTGACAGTCTTCCTTCACAACATTTGAAGGTCATAATGCCTCACACTATTGAACAAATTCATAGTTACCTGTTGAAGCTGTCCAAGTCACCTTCCATGGCCTTCTTAATGAGATGTCTAAACATCACTGAACCTTCTAGAGCTCTGAACCTTCTGGAGTGCAACGCAGGCCTCTTTCATCACTCATAAGGAGGAGAACTTTCTGAAAAACCATCTGGTTTCCAACCACAAACAGTTTAGATTGAAGATGTTCTGAAGGTAGAGTTTGGCTCTGCTACCATTAAGGCATTTAAAGTGGAACTCAAATTTTTTTTTGACTTCCTGCGTAATTCAATCATTGAGATGTATAGTCATTCAGAGTGGTTTGACATGAAATGGTTCATCATAGAGAACGTTACAGACTGGAATTTCTTTATAGTGGTGGTGATAAACTCTTTTAATGTATCAAGAGATGTGCTGGTCTTGGCATGGAGGCCAAAACGTGGGAAAAAGGAACTTGTCTGAGGAACAGCTGTGTGTTGCTTCATCCACACCATTTGCAAATCTCTTCACCATTCACCAAGTTCCTCACCAAGTTCCTCACTAAATTTCTTACCACATGTTTTGCAAACATCACTGAGAAAATATCCTTTCATCCAGGTTGTTAAAGTGTATATATGTAGAAGCATGAGCTGAAGGACATGAAGGACAGAGTCAGGAACCAGCACTCTTTGGTAAGACCTCTGCATCGGTCCCAGCACTGACAGGTAGGAATCGCGTCTAACCTTTTGTTTATTGTTTTGTTTGTTTGTTTGTTTGTTTGTTTGTCTGTTTTCAACAAGAATCAAGTGCTTTGGAAAAACAATATAATTTACAAGTTTAAGGAAGGGAATTGGAATGTCTCCATGTTCAGTGTTGCAAATTTATAGAGGTATTTCAACTCCAAGTTTTTTTAATTTCTTAATATTTGGTAAAAAAGAAAAAAACAATTTAGGCCAAAAGTTTATCTCAAAATGATAAACAATAAATGATAAACAATGTCTCTGGCATCAGGCAGTGTATTCAAAAACACTTCATGTAACAGAGGGAGATTTTAGAGGCATTAAACTCTTCAGATGTGACTTGATGAATTTCCCTAGTATGCAGCATCTCACATCAAAACACTCTGATTAACTTTGTTTACATCTTAACAATTGAATTATGCAGAAACTTTGAACTTTAAAATAACATCTTTAAAGTTGCATCTTGGCTCAAGTTAAATCAGGTTGCACTGCCCAGAGTAAGGCCACACAGCCCTCTGATATGGTCAGTTTCCCAGAGGGTAAATGCAGTTGTGGCTCAGAGTTAAACATTTAAAAACATTTAATTATAGCAATAGTTTTTGTGCGATGGAGCAATGAGTCTAATATAGATAACAACCAGTAGACGTTGTAGATGCAGAAGATGCCTGAACTACCACAGACTTTCCTCAGTGGATGTTTCATTTCAGAAACTTTTCAGTTCTTTGATTGTATTGTGGTATTTTCAAACCAAAATAACATGAACTTGGTATTTAACCATGTTTTATCAGGATTGTCATGAAAAGCTCCTGAGCCTTTATATTCTCCTTTATATTCTCCTTCTTTTCTGTGCATAACCCAGAAAGTGGACCAGTTTTGTTTTATTTGTTCCTCCAGCAGATTCTGTTCCTCATCACATCCCTCTTCCTGATCTTCACCATGAGCCTCCTCACTCAGGTGCTGTTTCTGCTGGCTCTCTCTGGATGTTCCAGTGAAGTCGTAAACAGTTTTACCCAGACGTGCCCTCAATTCTTTGCTAATCCAGGAAGAACTCTGTCTCCTCCAACTGTATTTAAAGGAAAAAATTACAAACAGATCTGCCAAATTCTAAAGAACACATATGAATACGCAACACTGTATGACACAGCAAACAGGATCCCCGTCTACTCAGCCTACAAGTTTGAAGGAAAAAAGGGTTTTGACAGAAAAGGCAGCTGGTATATTGAACCTCAGGTACGTTAACCAGCAACTGCATTTACACAGGGATGGGGGAGTAGCTAAGTAGCACGCTATTTTTGTAGTTAACTACAATTTTTGTAGCTAATAGCTGTGGCTGCTACAGTTTTATGAAACTTAGCTAGTAGCTGTAGTGCCTACACATTTTTGTGTAGCTATAGCGATATTTTTCACTTCAATTTCCCTGCACGCTTCAGGCAATCTGCGTAAAATCTGAACCGTAGAACGAGGTCGTTAACTGACTGAGTTGTGGACAGTTCGAGCAAACAGTCACATGCTGGCCCCACGTGCTGATCACCCCTTACTAGTAGACTTAGCTCAGGGGTCACAACCCAAATGTTAAGCAGAGCCTTTTTGTCCTTTCAACAAAAATAAAACCACCTTGGGAGCCACAACATTTTATATCTGTTTTACCATCATGGCTGTAAATATGTCTCAGTATGTGCTGATGTGCTAGTATAGAGTAAAACATAAATACACTAAATATAAACAAAAACACAGACTTACTTTGCTCTGCTTTAACCTTTAGCTCAGCTATAGCTGCTTTTCTCCCATCTCAGTCAGTAAACTTTTCTTGTAAAATGTCTCTCAACATTTAACTTTTTGCGAGGCTGAAGTCGCTTATCATTCGCCAGCTTTTTGTATGTTTTCAGCTTTTCAATTGTATGTTTCTCTCTGGCACATGATTAAATGCAGTGTCTTGTTCACACTATCAGTTGGGTTTGTTTGGTGTGTCAGGTTAAGATACACAAACAATCTGACAGTCAAGCTTTGAAAGTAGCTAAATAGTAGTGCACTACTTTTCAAAAAGTAGCCACTACTCTTTCTTGAAAAGTAGCTAAATTGTAGCAGCTACAAATTTTGGGAAAGTAGCTACAAAGTAGTTAACTACTAATTTTTCAGTAGCTTTCCCAACCCTGCATTTACATTGTATTCGTGTTATGCTGGTGGTTGTTGGGTGATGGTGCAGTGCATCCATGTGAAAAAGGAAAAAACAAAGTAAAGTTAGAGCCACATATTCAGGAGAGAATCATCAGGAGAACCACATTTACACTCTCAGAAACAAAGGCTCTAAACTATCACTGGGGCAGGCCGCCTCTTGTCACCGGGGTGGTTCCCTCAAGTGTACATCTCAGTACCTTTAGTCAGGGAACATAATTGTACCATAAATTATTGAAATGATGTTTTCTAAGTTGTATTGACTCCACACACCCCGTGAGTAACATGTAAGTAAATAGATTTGTTGTTTTTCCAGGAAGTTATATACTAACTATCTATATATCGACTATGTCCTATACTATCTATACACACATTATCACTGGCATTGGGTACAGTCTGCAGAGCCTGCGCAGAACTCTGTTCTGACTGAAAAATGTTGTTGGCTTCAGAAGTGTAGCAACAAACTTTTTGCTTTCCTCCCTATTTTTTCTTTTCTCTGCTGCACTTGGATGACTTTATTTGATTTTTTCTCCCAGCACACAAAAAATCACACAGAAGCACCTCCTCTCCATAATGTAGATGATCGCTTAATTGCCTTTTTGATACTAATCTTTCTTTACAGTTGTGACATCACAAAACAACAAAAATGGTATAGTCCATTACAAACATGATTGGGGTGGTGCTGCATGCAAAGGACTGAAAATCACTACATTCAGAAATAACAGCTATTTTTAATGTTTTTTAATGTATATACACTGTAAAAAATAACTTACTTAAAAAAGTAACTTCATCTATTAACAAGCAATTAAATTAGTTGTATTGCTAACTCAAAAAATTACATTTATTGAAAGAATCATTCATTCAAAGTTTTTATTTAGGTTGAATAAAACTAGTTATTTACTCATTTCCTTATGAAATAATACTTTCAGGTTGATCTGAGGAGCTATTTTTTTACAGTGTATATTTGGAAACATCAATACATACAATATATCTAATTTGCGCCTTGGCTAATCGGGGCCAAAGGGCGGCTGCCTACGTTAGCCTAGGGAAAAGACCGACCCTGCTTACAGCAAAACACCAAAGCTCTGTCCAATTAGAAAACCCACTGATTTAGCTTTGCACATACATAGCACATGACTAAAATGCTGGTAATACAGAATAATACAGAAAGGCACTCAAACTCTCAGTGTAGTTCAATGGCATTAAAGTTTAGTTTCACTTTTTCTGTTTTTGCTGCCTGGAAGTATACAAGTATGTATGAAAAACAGTGCGTTTAGTGGGGCACGAAGATTGGAGAGTAGGGCATTGGCCCCCTGAATAGCCCCCTGAGCCGAGCCTGGTACAGAATCAGAAGTGCAGACACCTGTTAATACAGAACGTAAACTGAATGTAAATTGACTTAATTACGACACTAACTACATGATTAATTTTGTAGTTATGTATTACATTTAAAACTCTATTTGTTCCTAAACAAATTCTTGCAGCTTGAAGACCAAAATAAGGGCCGACAGATGGCATCTGAAAGCAGTGTGGCCCAGATAAATAATCAAGCTGTCAATGCAGACTACAATGGGACGCACAATCATCACTTTGTAAAAGGACATCTGGCTCCAGTCTTCCACGCCACATCACAGAGCAGCGCTAATGCCACCTTCACCCTCACCAACGCCGCTCCACAAAACGATAAATTTAACAACGGAGAATGGAAGAGAACAGAGAACGCCGTGGCTAAAGCTCTGGAGAAGAAGTGTAAGGGAAATTTTGCTTATATCGTCACCGGGGTGGTTCCTGGCGCTGATAAACTAAAGAACAGAGTTCGTATTCCCAGTCACTTCTGGACCGCTTACTGCTGTCTAGACCACAAGCGGAATGTGAAAGCTTCAGGTGCTTTCATAGGAGAGAACAAAAATGACCCAGTGCAGGAAATGTCAGTCAAAAATCTAGACAGAAAGCTGAGAGATGAGTATGGTAAATTTTTCCGTGTTTTTGGTGGTAAATGTAATTAATCGGAGGTTCAGGCCGGCTGATAGTTTCAACATCCTTTTCAGTCTCACCAAAAAGAAAAGAAAGGTTTCAACCCCAAATCATAGAAGAAATCATGCTGTGGAGCGTCCTATGCATCAGAAAAAGGCAAAAAAAAACCTCTCTCTTTCTCTCTTTACCTACATAAAGAAATCTGCACTGTGTTGATTCATTTTCGTTTGTTGTACTTTTAATCAATGGATTTCTATAAAAAATTTTAATAAATGAATGAAAAAAATCGTAAAAACAAGACGTATGAGTTGCCAGTTTCACTATGAAAAAAATAAGGTAATTTTAAAAATATACTGACATTAGTCAACTCTGCAGCAGTTACCTGGAGGGGAGGAGTCAGGAAATAGATTGAACTATGTGTATGGATTACTATACAGGAAAATATTAGTGTGGGGGATTATTATTTTTAAGGTGTGGCCACAAATTACTATATGGAGCCCATGTGACCACAAGAAACTTAACTTGTGGCCTTAATATATTAAATTTGGCCTAAATATATTGATTTGTGGCCTTGCCTTCTTAAAAAACATCACCATGTAGGGACTCCATAGTACTGTACAAGTGCCCTTTTCATTGTTGTGCATAACTGTATTTATTATTGCCTCCATATATAAGGGCTGTAGTCAGCCACAGCCACTCCATACAATAAGCAAGGCTTCTGGCTAACAACTCACTCTACACTCAGCTCACATCTCCCCTCTTTGACTTCTAGCGCTAGACTGCTTAGTTCGTCCTGTTCTAAAAGAACACAGCCAGTGAGCTGACCCTGCCCTTCAGAATAAGAGTCCTCGTAGAATAAACTCTGAGAATAACTGCTGGAGAACAATAACCCAGAATAAACATGTACTCATTTCTTGAACATGCTACATTGCATGTGTAGGGGGCAGTCGTGGGCCAGAGATTAGGGAACCAGCCCTGTGACTGGAAGGTTGCTGGTTCAACCCCCTCAGCTGACAGTCCATGACTGAAGTGCCCTTGAGCAAGGCACCTAATCCCCAATTGTTCCCCGGGCGCTGTGGATAGGGTGCATGTATGTGGGTGTTTCACTGCACGCATGGGTTAAATGTGGAGGTCTAATTCCACTGTGTGCAAACACAGTTGGCTAATGGTTCTGAATTCAATTCAGTACTGAGACTTATATGGATATAGATACATATATGAATACATAAACAACATTAACTCACTTTATCAACATACTGAATTAAAATAATTTTAAAAAATGAAAGAACAAATATAGTAAAATTCTATTGTTGCCTATTAATGTCTGATAAGCTTGAGTTGGGTTTGACTTACTTAGTCTACTTACTAAGTACTAGTAACCGGCCCTCCAGGACTAGAGTTTGCCACTACTGCCTTAGCGGGAAGGGTTATGGAATGATGAATCTTGATGTGAGTGTTCTCCTGTGAGAAGCTGTTGTACTTAGAGAGTGTTCTCCATCACAATCATCAATGCAACAATTGAGGAACTAGCTTTTGGAAGAATGTTGTTCTGTCCCACCAGTACAGTTTCAGAGACCTGTGGAAACAATGCTAAGATACATTTAAACTTCCGCAAGTGGTGGTGGCCCAAATCCTTACTAAGAAACTTGACATTGGTTTACCTTTAATTTCCATTTCCATATATATTTGACTATTAACATGAAATTCTTCTCTTTTGGGTAAACCTGAACAATATGTTTTGGTGAACCAACCAATAAATGACCAGAATTTTGTATCATAATATAAATTATAATTTAGTTTTACATCTTATAGGACGCAGCAGAACTGCCTGTTGAAAAAAGACTGAATCAATTAAAAAGACTTGAGGAATAATTGATATTCATACAGATATGAAGTTAAAAGTATCCTTCTTAGTAATACTTATGAAAAACCTACAGGGTGAACATTACAGTAGTCATCAACATATAGGTTACCTCATAGTCAGACCTTCCACCAGGGGACAACGTCCCCCGCCACGTTTCAAACACTAGGAAATACACACTGAAATTAGCAACCTTGCTTATCTAGCTGCTGCTAGTTAGCCACCACCAAACTAACTGTTATCCAGCTTAATTAGCTGACTTAACCTGCAAAACAGCAAACTAGCAAGAGTAGCAAAATACAGTCTGTCTGCAACTGTGATAAGTGTGCAAAACAGAGTTATGGAAAAACTGAAAACTGGGGGGAGGATCATGCCAGAAACCTGCCTCCTTCAAATCTACATAGACTCCCATCTTTACCTTCCACTGCCTGTGGTGAAGTCCTGGTCTCCTGTGTTCTCCTCTCACTGTAGACCTTCATCGCTCCTGAACTCTGCTTAGCCATCTTTCTACTCGTTCAGCTGTATCATTCCATCTGACATTCAGACTTAAGTCTATATTCAGTGTCCCTACTATCCCGGCTGCCTGCCTCGGTCAAATCCACCTAGCTGGCTGAACTCCTCAGCCACCGCCACACACACTGTCACTGTTGCATGGATATTGCATAACTATGAACATGCTGGTTAGCCGTCTGGAGCAGCACCAAAATTATTCAGTCTTAAAAAACCGACACAAATTTTGCACAAGCTCTATTACAAACACAATAGTTCCACACTCATCAGCAAATCCATAAATGTGTGAGTCACATCTAAGCTAAAAATGCAATAAAACCCACAAAACACAAAACGAAGGTGCTTATCTAATGTGAATAAATAAAACGATGTAACTTCACCACATAAACTCCAACCCTGGTGCTGGAGAGCGACCTTCCTGCAGAGCCTGGTTCCAACCACATCTACCACACCTGCTATATCTAATCAACCTCTTCCCAAGTCTCTGATTGGCTGGATCATGTCGTAACCAAGAGCTATCTCTTTTTGTCCAGGGTCTGGACATTTGTAAGTAACTCTAATATTATCTATACTATTGCCCTAATAACTATCTGTAATCTAATATCTTCAAAGAGAATTAAAAGAATAAAAAAATATCAAGAAAAAAGGAAAGGAAAAGGAATGCAAAAAGACTTCAGCCACTGAGTTCTTGTGGAATGAAGGAAAAAGGTCTTCGCTTCATTGGGCATAAAATGGCAAGATGGTTATTGGTCAACCACGATGCAAAGAACATCTCGAAACATCCCTTTTTATTCCCCTCTGGGGTGGTGAGGTAGTCTCCCCACCCCAGTTACACAATTCCATACTATTTTAGTCCCCAACATGTCCAAACCTTATACCTTTTTGGATAGCCTTTAAAACCAAACGCATATGATGTCTGTTTCTAAAACCCACGCTGGTCTGACTCTTACCAGATTGCTCTCTCCTTAAGGGCCCTCTTGCGCAACTCTCCATAGGGCATCTTACACAACCCTCCACATATGTACAAGAGTGAACCTCAGCTATAACTTAAACTGTCATCTGCTACAGCTCCCTTCTGTGGGCCCAGAAACTCCCGTTAGAGATTCTGCTGCATGCAGTCCATAGTCTGCTTCCCTATATTATCTTATTAGGAGGGTTTTCTAGTCCAATATTCAATTTATTGAATAGCCAATATTTAGTTTTTTGATTACTAATCAGGGAATGTTTTATTCAATCTTTCCCATCAATCAGAAGTATTAGAGTTAGGTAAGGGGGCAGTTTACTGGGTACAGGCAGGAACCAAATTCTGCCGGAAGGTCGCTCTCCATGACTAGGGTTGGAGACCACTGCTGTACATGTTTATTATAGTTCTTTGTGCTTCACCAATCTCAAGGCCATATCTATAGATAAATATCACACAGACATGAGTGTTTCTGGCTGCATTCTCTCCATTATATGATCCTATCTCACATTCTGGGTGCAATGTTCTTGAAGTACTACAATTTTGGATGGCATCTTTCTTAAACTGCAGCTGTCTAATTGTACTGAATGCAGTTCAGCAGCAATGTTGATCATCCTAAAGTTGGTGGCATTATTGACGTTCCTGACTGAACCCAATGCAGCATTCATGTATGTACAGTCTAATGAAGAAGTAAGGATGCCCATCCAGCTTGTTCTGGGGGACCCTGAGCCGCTCCCAGGCCAACTTGGATATATAATCCCTCCAGGGTGCAACCCCAGGGTCTCATCCCAGAAGACTGTGTCTGGTAAACCCCCACTGGGAGGTGCTCAGGGGGCATCCTGATCAGATGCCCAACCACCATATAGGCGGTGGGAGGTCCTTGGCAGCATGGACCCCTGCAGTGGAAACTGGATCTTGGTACTTTAAACGTGTCAAATTGAAATCAGGTGCACTTGATCAGGTGTTAATGATTAGAATACCATTAGAGAATATCTTGGAGGAACTTAATTTAAACCTCAGCTATCTGGATTGATTTGCTCTCTGAGGCCTTCAGAAAGTAGATGCCTGAGTCTAGGAAGAGGTTTAAGATGATATCCAAAATATTGGAAACTACTCTCATTCTACTGTCCAGAAGATCATCTACAAGCAGAGTAGATTTAAAGCCTCTGCCAACTTGTCCAGGCCAGGTTACCCCATCAAATTTAACCTGACAGCAGACCGTAAGATGCTAAGAAGTCTCTAAGAATCCCAAGATTTCAGCACAAGATCTGCAGGTAGCTCTTGCCACTGCCACAGCAAGTCTCGTATAAACTGTGGTTCTGACTGGCCAAGCACTGGTGTGTTCTAAAGGACTAACTGCTCTGCCAGAGCTGAATTATTCCATTCTGTCTCAGCTCCATCGGAGGTAAACAATGCCACTATGTCCAAAAACTTCCTCCGGGTCTTGTTCTGCACCCGTTTAATGGGAAAAAGGAACTGCAGTATAGATAATGCAACCTTGACAATCAGCAAATTCCTCACCAAGTTCCTCAGCTCTCAGAAGGTTCCTCAGGAAGTTTCTCAGCTCTCAGAAAGTTTCTCACCAACCTTTGCACCACTCAGCAAGTTTTTCACCAAACATATGGTTTTCTACACGTTTCATCACTGATGAAGACTACTTTCGTGTCTATATGTACACATGCGATGGCCTATAAATGAGCATGTGCTGAGAGACGTGACAGAGAGAATCAAGAAGAAGCAGACTGCACTGGTCTCAGCAGCAACAGGTAAGAAATAAATAAAACTGAGCATATTTTTTACTTGTTTTGTTGATTTTTAACCAAGAATCAGTCAAATACAAAGGACAGTGTAACTATAGGATTCAAGTAGTATGTTATCACTACGCTAACAACAATTCACGAGTTTAGGAAGAAAAGCGTGTGCAGCAGAAAACTTTGTAGCAGCTTTAGCAACTGTTTTCTGTCTAAGCAGTCGTACGGTCAAATGCTCCTCTGGTCAAAGGATATATATCACTGATTCTGATGTAAAAATGAGTCAATACATCTTCAGAGAGCAAACAGAACAAATCTGACATTTCTCTTTTAATTTTAGTGCACGATTTCTATTTATTGTTGTTTAACAATTAATATTATTTATTAGAATTAGCCCTGTATTGCATGGTGTTGCCATATGGCAACAATTACTTTACCTCAATGTTATTAAAAGGCAGTAAAATAAAATCCATGTTTTGCTGTTTAATTGTGGAAAAGGTGTTTTTTACTGTGAAAGCACAAATCCTGTTTGCACTCCCTTTTTCCATGGACACTTGACCCTGAGAAGGTCCTTAAAGATAATATATTGTAGATGCTTTACAGGTGCCTAACACACTTTATACATATATGTATGTATATATATGCAAATTGTAGGCAGCAGTGATGTCCCTGTGTCTTATTCAAATGTTATTAAAATGTTATTACCATACATACCAACTAACAATTGAAATTCTATTAAATGTGTAAATAGTGGGTTATACATTTCACTCAGTATAATCTGGATTTGTTTAGCATTGTTTTCAAGAAAAGGATATTTTTAGAGAAAAAATTACATTTTGTGGTACTTTCCACGATTGCCCATTGTTGCCATAGGACAACAAATTAATTTTATTCATATATTTCCATTATTTTAGCAATATTAAATAATACAAACACATCAAAATGGTTTTATTACGTTCAAGTAATTATTCGTGCAATTAAAAACTGAATGATGGTTTATCAGTCCATCACTGTAAAAGCTTGATTTATAAGAAACTCATTGATTTTTTTTTATTTCATTGATTCACATTTATGCTCAGCAGCACTTTAAGTATTTTTAAAAGGAATGTCAGGTTAGTTTTTTTGTCGATTGTCAAGCATTTCCTTTAAAAGTTTCACTGGTCCCACTTTTTATTGTCTCTAATAATTGTGTAGTTACATGTGAACAACAATGTAACTACTAATGATTTAGTCACTGTTACAGATGGATTACAGAGTACAGAGTACAGCCTATGTAATTACACATGTGTATCAACTTCAGTTTTGCCTCATGTAATTAAACAAGTGTATATTAGTAGTTGTAACAGCCTATTGTCTCTCATGTAATTACATGAGGGTAATAACACAAATGTAATTACATCTGTAAACAGACTGGAACAGCAGTTTTTTAGAAGGGTTTTTTTCCCAGCAGTAAAAGGAAGGATCTAATAACATACATCAAAACATTACTTACACTGTATCTGCCAGCTTTCCTAACATTTAGCTATCATTTATGTTGCTAGTGCTGTGACACTGTAACCAGTTTCAGCTTTAAACCATTCTGTAATGTGACAGAACAGCACACTCCCCCTTAAATTAACATGTAGCTATAATAACATTAATTAAATGTGTTGCATTTCACCCCCAAAGCAACGTCTATATTACCACTGCATTATTACACAGTACTTACATAATAACTACACAGGAACTGTCCACTTATTTTACAGTGTAACTTTAACACTACACTACAGGAAAGTTCCTCTGTAGAAGATACACTTGTGTAATTACATGAGGCAAAACTGAAGTTGATACACATGTGTAATTACACATGCTGTACTTCTATAATCCACCTGCAACATTGACTAAATCATTAGTAGTTACAGTGTTGTTTTATATGTTATTCATGTGTAACTACACAGTTATTAGAGACCCTTAATATAAAGTGGGACCGTGTCACTCATGTATTAGTTAAATCATTTGAGTTATACAGTCAGCTGTGTTTACAGAACTAAAGCTGACTAGATGAGCCTGGTGCTTCTGATTATCATGAGCTGTGATGAAGAGCTCCGTTCCTTGTTTTCTCCTTCTTTTCTGTGCATAACCCAGAAAGTAGACCAGTTTCGTTTCATGTGTTCCTCCAGCAGATTCTGTTCCTCATCACGTCCCTCTTCCTGAGCTCCATCATGAACCTTCTAGCTTCAGTGCTGCTTCTGCTGGCTCTCTCTGGATGTTCCAGCGAAGTCGTAGATGATTTTAAGAAGACGTGTCCTGATTTCTTTGCTAATCCAGAAGGAACTCAGTCTCCTCCGACTGTGTTTACAGGAAATGATTACAAACAGATCTGCCAAATTCTAGATAACAAATATGAATATGCAACACTGTATGACACAGCAAACAGGATCCCCGTCTACTCAGCCTACAAGTTTGAAGGTTTAATGGGTTGTAAAAGACGAAACAACTGGTACATTGAACCTCAGGTATACTAAAAAGCAACATATCACGTTTTGGTACACATATATTTTGTTATACTATTTTTATGTTATGCTCATTATTTAAACAGACCTCCTCTTCTTTTCACTAAACAAATTATTACAGCTTGAACACAGATATTTTGACCGAAAGATGGCGTATGACATATGCGGCTTGACCCAGTTAGCGTATCAAGCTGTTAACGAAGACTACCTGTGGTCAGGCTATGACAGAGGACACCTGGCTCCAGTCTACCACGCCAGGTCCCAGAGCTGCTCTGATGCCACCTTCACCCTCACCAACGCCGCTCCACAAGACAGCTCATTCAACAGAGGCCAGTGGAAGAAGACAGAGGAAGCTGTGGCTAAAGCTCTGGGGGAGAAGTGTAAGGGAAATTCGGCCTATGTTGTCACTGGGGTGGTTCCTGGCCCTGATAAACTAAACAACAGAGTTCGTATTCCCAGTCACTTCTGGAGCGCTTACTGCTGTCTAGACAACAACCTGAAAGTGAAAGCTGCAGAAGGTTTCATAGGAGAGAACAAAAATGACCCAGTGCAGAAAATGTCAGTCACATTACTGGATGTAATTCTGACCGCTCTGTATGATCAAGGAACTTTCAGAGTATTTGGCGGAATGTGTGATGAGCCCAACCCGGTAGATCCACTGAGGCTTTTGAATATTCACCTCTGCAAATTATTTGAGCCCTTGAAAACTTGTGTTGAGAGATTACTCAGAGAAGGTGGTCAATAACGTTAATATATACCATGTCTTGCAGAAATACTGGAACACTTGGTAGCTCCTAAATTCTCAGAGAATACTCGCCTCATGCTCTCCTTCTACCTTTCCTGCTATTACGCTCTAAAACGTGCAGAAGTGTGTTCTCTACAGAACATGTGTGAACTCATTTTCACTTAGAACACCGACACAATGTCATTCACCAGGCGTGTTCAAACCTTTGCATGTGATTGTGGATATACATTTGCATCTGCAGTGTCTCATACATATATATTTTATTTTAAATCAATAAATTTCTGTCAGTTAATTGTCTCAAAGTACTCTGTGAACTGGTGTTTCTTTGGTAAACTGTTATAACAAGTTAAAAAGTGTCTAAAATGAATAACTTCACTGTAAATGCAGGGCAGAGTAGGGAGATAGTAGCTTTGGTCTGTTCATTCTTTTGGCTTTTCATATAGTTCACAATCTTTAATACTGCAGAATTAGACAGTCTTATATGTCTCACATGTATGTACTTAATTCATAGTGGTCTTACAGATTTAGGCCCAATCCCATTTCACCCCTCGCCTCTACCACTTAGCCCTTAGCCCTCTGTTTTGTCCGTTCACATGTAGGGTTAGGGTGTCCCGATTTTTGTTGAGATAGAGGGGTGGGGTGAAGTGTTAGGGCTATATGGCCCTCCAAACGGAGGCTTTTCAGATACTCACTCAAGTGTGTGACACTTGAAAACAAGGGGTAGGGGTAAAAAGAAGAAATGGGATTGGGCCTTGGAGGTGCTGCTCTCACAAGACCAAATTCACTAAGATCCCTCATGAAGGGCACCACAGCGCAGCACAGTAGACATGTAGTGAGGAGGTGCTTTACAAAGAATGTCTGAGTAGATATTAAAGAGCTACTACTGCCACTATTATTACTATTATTATTATGGTTATTATTATTATTGTGCCGTCAAGTCGATTCCAGTTCTTGCCCACCATATTAGGACAGTGTTTCTCCAGACTGTCCTTTCACCTGTTTATAAAACAGTAGTAATTATCCCAGATCAGAACTATTCTGGTCCTGTAGGGGGCGCTGTAGAGGGAGCTGTGAGTTTATTTTATTGAATTATTCTCTTTTAATAACAGGCTTTATGTTCAGCACAGTTTTGTTCTTGGTCAGATCAGGACCCCTTCAGTGACTGAAGAAATGTAAGTATAATAGGCAAATATAGCAAATAAGAGATCTGCTTTATGAAAGGGAGTGAAATAAATGTGCTTTAGTTTCTTCTGAAGGGCCCAGAAACAACAAGCTGGCATGAAAAAACTAGAGCCAACTAAGTCCTTCAGCTCACTGTCGCCTCACATCTCCAGTAAGAAACACACCACAAAGGCTACAGCTGACACACACATACACTATATGGACAAAAGTATTGGGACACCCACACGTTACACCGACAAACTAAGGTGCCTAGGCCAACCCCTGGAAAACAACCTCATAGCATTATCCCTCCTCCACCAAACTTTACAGTTGTAAACTGTTGTAACTTTACAGTGTAGTCAGGCAGGTAACATTCTCCTGGCATCCAACAATCCCAGACTCGTCCATCAGACTGACAGATAGAGAAGTGTGATTTCCTTACTCCACACAATAGTCCAGTAGCAGCACTTTACATCACTCCATCCAAGGCTTGGCACTGTGCTTGGTGATGTAAGGCTTGCATGCAGCTGCTTGGTCATGGAAAACCCATGCCATGAAGCTCCTGGCACACGGGTTTTTGTGCTGATGTTAAAGCCAGAGGAGGTTTGAACTGATGTGTTGCAAATGTAGCATCCTATTACAGCACCATGCTCAAATTCAGTGAGCTCTTCAGAACGACCAGTTCTTTTACTAATGTGTGTAAAGGCAGGCTGCATGGCTAGGTGCTTGACTTTATACACCTGCGGAAATAGGACTGAATGAATCACCGGAATTCGATGATTAAGAGGTGTGTCCCAATACTTTTGTCTATATATTGTACTTAATGCACCTGCATGAAAGGTAACAACTTTCACTACAGCAGGAGTTGGCAGTAGTCTGTAAAACTACTCAAAGCAACTTTTAATATCATGCAAACACTAGAGGTCACCCTTGTTTTATTTATTCTCTGGCAAAAATGGCCAATAAGTGCAAACTTTTAAGTAGAAAAGAAGGAGAAAACTTACAAAAAGACTGAACAAATCTAATGGTACATTTTATTATTAAGATAGAAACAAAGACCTGGCTTGTTTGTTATTTTAAGTGTATGTTGAAATGGTTCAAGTGAAAAAGGGACACAAGTGCAGAAATTGAAAATACCGTCTTGCCAAAGCTGAAATACGGAACTAACAAGTATCACATCCCGCTGACACAAGGTCAGTTTCCTCAAGAGCACAGATGCCTTCGTGCTTACAAGCCTGGACCCACTAACAGAAATAATGAAAGAGATAACTGCTCTTCTCTTTATCTGTTTGAGACATTTCGTTTAAAATGTTAATGGGATAAAGCAACTACATATGCAGCTGCATCCTCACCACTCAGCAAGTTCCTCACCAACTTCCTCGGCTCTCAGAAGGTTTCACCAACTTTTGTACCACTCAGCAAGTTTTTCACCAAACATATGGTTTCCTACACGTTTCATCACTGATGAAGACTACTTTCGTGTCTATATGTACACATGCGATGGCCTATAAATGAGCGTGTGCTGAGAGACGTGACGGAGAGAATCAAGAAGAAGCAGACTGCACTGGTCTCAGCAGCAACAGGTAAGAAATAAATAAAATTAAAAATGTTTTATTTGTTTTATTGATGTTTAACCAAGAATCAGTCAAATACAAAGGACAGTGTAACTACGGGATTCAAGTAGTATGTTATCACTACGCTAACAACAATTCACAAGTTTAGGAAGAAAAGCGTGTGTAGCAGAAAACGTTGAAGCAGCTTTTGCATCCTTAGTTTCCGTCTAAATGAAGTTAAAGAAGGTAAAGTGATAACAGGCTTGGATTCAGAAATGTCTGTGGAAATGTGCTTGTCTCTTAACTGGCTTATAAGTTGTAACTTAGTTGGTTGATTAGTACAATTTTTGTTTCACATTGCTGTTTAACTGTGGAAAAGGCATTTTTTACTTTGAAAGGACAAATGACCATGACCAGGAAATCCTGTTTGCACTCCCTTTTTCCATGGACACTTGACACTGAGAAGGTCATGATCTTTAAACAACAACATTTTCTTCCTAGAAGATGTTGTAGTTTGCTTTACAGGTGGCTAATACACTGATATATATCGCTGTTGTCGGAACAAAACCTTGTACCTCCAAAATGAGAACTTTACAGGAGAAGGAAAAAAACAACTTTACTTTTAATGTAAGTCAATGGAACCAGAAGTCATTTTGAAGCGTTTCTGTTGGTCCATTCATCATGAAATTTACACACAATGTAAAGGACAAAAAGCATTTTCAAAATATGTCAAAAACTGAAAAATGGAGATACAAGGTTTTGTTCCAACAGTATGTATGTGTGTGTAGAGAGACAGATAGAGAGAGAAAATTTACATTTTGTGGTACTTTCCACGATTGTGCATTGTTGCCAAAAGGCAACAAATTAATTTTCTTCCTTTATTTAAACAATCTTATATAATAGAAAGACATAAAAACAGGTTTATCATGTTTAAGTAACAGTTCATGCAATAGAGGGCAAAATGATGGTCCATCAGTCCATCAGTGTGAAAGCTTGATTTTTAGGAAATTCATTGATTCCTTTTGATTTCATTGATTTACATTTTGGCTCAACAGCACTTTAACCTCTTCACATTCCAGGCTTATTAAATACTAAGGCTTTTTGTTCATTAACTACAGGGACAACTAATGGAGCTATTCTTAGGTTATAGAAGTGTGTAATAAAACTTTGGGCCTACCGTCAGGCCCAAGGATTGGTAAATCAAGTTAGTTCCTTTGTAGATTACCAAGCATTTCCTTTAAAAGTTTCACTCTTGTATAAGTTGAATCATTTGAGTTATACAGTCAGCTGTGTTTAACCAACTAAAACTAAAAGGAGCCTTGTGCTTCTAATTGCCATGAATTTCCATGAAGTGCCCATGAGCTGCTGTTTCTTATTTTTTCTGTTTCTTATTTTTGTCCTGTTTTTTTCCATTTTCTTTCAGGAGATTCTGTTCCTCATATCCCTCTTCCTGAGCTCCATCATGAACCTCCTCACTCCGGTGCTGCTTCTGCTGGCTCTCTCTGGATGTTCCAGTGAAGTCGTACCTGATTTTACTCAGACGTGTCGTGCATTCTTTGCTAACCCAGCAGGAACTCAGTCTCCTCCGACTGTATTTCCAGGAAATAATTACAAACAGATCTGCCAAGTTCGATATAACACATATGAATATGCAACACTGTATGACACAGCAAACAGGATCCCTGTGTACTCAGCCTACAAGTTTGAAGGGATAAAGGATTGTGACAGAAGTGACAACTGGTATATTGAACCTCAGGTATGTCAAAAACAATGAACCACCTTTTGGTACACATTAATTTCATTATCTTACATGTCATGATGCTGGTCATTTAAACAGATCTCCTCTTCTTCTCATTACAATTCTTGTAGCTTGAAGACAGAGATAATGAAGCAGAGATGGCGCCTGAAAGCAGCATGCTGCAGATAGACAATCAGGCTGTTAATGAAGACTATGACAATTCAGGCTATGACAGAGGACACCTGGCTCCAGTCTACCACGCCAGGTCACCGAGCTGCTCTGACGCCACCTTCACCCTCACCAACGCTGCTCCACAAGACAGATCTTTCAACAGAGGACAGTGGAGAAAGACAGAGAGAGATGTGGCTCACACTCTGAACCAGAAGTGCCTGCCAAATTCTGCCTTTATCGTCACTGGGGTGGTTCCCGACTACAACAAACCTCCTCTAAAAAACAGAGTTCGTATTCCCGGTTACTTCTGGACCGCTTACTGCTGTCTAGACAACAATCTGCAAGTGAAAGCTGCAAGAGGTTTCATAGGAGAGAACAGAAATATCCCAGTGAAGGAAATGTCAGTCAGTGATTTAGATGCAGTTCTGACTATTCTCTATGGTAACAGGCCTTTCAGTGTATTTGGTGGAAGGTGTAATAAGTCCAGCTCAGTTGATTTCAGGTGGCTTCGTCTAATTCGGCATTGCCAAAGGAGGGTTTCAACTGCATCTCAGAAAAGATGTGTTGAAAGACTTCTCAAATTAATGAGTCAGAGAAGGATGTTCCTTCCAGACGAGGAGGAAACTTAATATATACAGTGCCCTCAGGAAAGATACAGTAGATCCCAAATGCTCTGAGAATGCTCCACTTCTGTTCTTATCTCTTGCCGTCAGACTAAATCAAGCTTTTTCTTTGTTATGAATCACTAACAGAACATGCAAATGAGGGAAAAGGGCGGTACACTGTTAGAAATAAAGGTTCTATGCAGGAACATTTTTCGTTCATCAAGGTACAAATAATGTAAATGTTCCCTCAAAGGTAAAACAGTGGATTTAAGATCCAATTGTGAACCTTAAATAAGTTTCCAGGTGAAAAGTACATATTTGTACCTTTTAATTGACTAATATTTTAAAACAGAACAATAAAATAAAAAGCTGGAGACGGGACGGGGTGTGTGGAGTCAGTACAACTTAGAAAATATAATTTCAATGGACTATTGTACAATTTTGTTACTGGACTAAAGGTATGGAGAGGTACCCTTGAGGGTTCTAGTGATAGTGATAGTTTACTACCTTTTTTTCTGAGAGTGTAGTGCCATATATGAGATCAATTGAAAAACAGGCCAAATTGTAAAATACTCTTTGTTTATGAAAGAGAACATGTGTTATGGCAATGTTACTTGCTCTGAACATCAAGGTAAATCCAGCAGAATCTGGCCTTATGTGTCTTGTGCATTTTCCTCAATAGATAGATTCAACTTTATTGTCATTGCTCAGTACAAGTACAAGGCAACAAAATGCAGTTAGCATCTACCAGAAGTACAAATAGTAGCAAAAGTGCAAAACGGACAGTGCAAAGGTGCAATAACAGGCATAAGTATAACGTATCTGTGAAATATATAACTATATAAACAATATATACACAATTACAAATATATCTATGATCAATCAATCAATACAGAGCAGAGCAAATTTAAAAAGCTTTCAGCTTTGAGCTTCAGTCAAATTACATGTTTTGTTGATTTTCTGAGTGAAATTAAGTGAACACACTTATGCATATTTTAATGCACAGTTACTGTTTATATGCTGAATTTCTAAGTTAATCGGGGGGACATAAAATAAAGTTATGGCACATTTAAGATTTGATGTTTTATTTTTTCAACATCAACATCATTTGATGTGTATTTATGACTGTGTATACATATTTGCATCTGCAGTGCTTCATATATATATATTTTTTTAATCAATAAATTTCTATCAATTAATTGTCTCAAAGTACTTTGTAAACTGGTGTTTCTTTGGTAAATTGTTATAAAGTGTCTTTTACACTACAGCTACAGTAGTACCTGCAATCTAGGTGTTACTATGAAGAAGTATGCTATGGTCCAAAGCCACTCAGTACAGGGGATAAGCACAGTGCCATGATCAGTCGGTCAGAATCAAAATTAATGGCCACAGCCACACTAAACCATTCCAATAAGAAGATAGTGGAATAAAATGACGGTTTCTCTTATTCCTGTCTATGGCCATAAGAACACAAAAAGGTTGTCTCAGACTTTTGGGTTTTGGCCTTTGAGATTATATTTAAAACATGTCAGAGCTAACATTCAGCAATTTTGTGCACATATAGAGTCCATTAGCCTTTGAAAAAGTCAGTGTATGTGAGCCAGTTGCTTGGTTTGGTGTATCCCTAGAATTCAACAGAAAGAGTAAATAGAAGTATAAGAACACATGAATTAAATGACAAAGAATAATATTAAAGAACAAAAATGTGGAAAATGACCTGTCACTGTCTTCTGTTTGAAGCAGTGGTCACCAAACCTCCTCTTGCATCTAAAATGCATCTAACATGCCCCCCCCATCACCACCAAGACTACTACCACCACTAATACAACTGATCCAGTAACCGACGATTTCTGAGGAAGTTAGTAAGCAGATGTGGCAGCCTGTGGTTGAAGCTCTGTAGGAAGGGAGATCTCAAGGACCAGAGTTGGTGACCACAGTTGTTGGAGCATAACATGGACGTTTCCAACATTCTTTGAATCAGATGTTTAAAGCATCAAGAAACTGATTAAACGTTTATGGACACAAGAGTCCCTTGAAACTATGATCACCATCATACATGTCTTTTGTTGTTAGTGTTTTAAAACTAAAAGCAGCTTTATTAGCATGTCATTAGCATGTACGTTTCAGATGCTAGTATGTGCCTTGCCTCAAGAACTCAACCCAGCCATCTTTGGCATCGCCAGTCACTATCTTTGGCAATTATACACTCACAGACAATGTTATTATTTTTATGTAATTATCACTGATAAATCCACCTTATTTTTCATGTGACTGCTGTATTTTGAGATAATGGCCCAAATATCCGATTGGGGAACAGCAGTGCTCTTCATTACTGTTTTAGCCAAGTGAAACTTAAAATTCTGGCACGACTGGGAACGTTACGAGCATAAACCTCTCAAGAAAGTGCTTCAAACGACATGTGAACATGCTTGAAAAAGCGCAGTTGTTATTGTTGAAATATGTTCCCATAAAATCCAATCAGAAGAAGAATTGCCAGTTGAGCATCACTGTTAGCTGCTAACAGACTCTCTCTAACTGGTTTACACTTTATATTCTCTGCAACTGGATATATTCTGCTCTCTTTAGAGTAGGCTGAGCTGGTTAGCAGAAAGCTACCTGGCTCCAATAATAAACGACAAAGTTTGAGTTGAAGCCTCAACAGAATGACTTATGTGAAGTTATTTCAGATGCCTGTTATGAGTTTACAATGTCTTTATTTAAAGTAGAGCTGACATCAAAATCCAGCATAATGCAACAACTGTGGTTCAAGGAATGCAGGATGTCTGCAAGAAAGCAGCTTAGCCTGTGGATAGTTTCCTAGCATGTAGCATGGATCGAGACTTATGCCCAAAAAGTCATGTGTGATGTAGCCTGTGCTATAAAGAGCATTGTCACACACCATTCATCCTTATTTGTCCATCATTCAACCACTTGTCATGGTCACTACACAGTGTCCGAGTGATGAGTGGCCCTGGTTTTTATCCAGCATTCACAGAACCACAGTTACATTCGTAACTAGCATTCTGTAGAACACTTTCCCAAAACTGGTACAACTGCCTTCTGACCACCAGAGGGCAGCGTAGCCTACACTCTTGAGAATAAAGTTCTTTAAGGGTTCTTTAGTAAAGGCAATGATTCTACACAGAACCATGAAGGGCCATTTCAATGCATTCACGGTTCTTTGCATGGTCAAATGGTTTCTCTCTATGGCAAAAAACTATTTTATACCCAGAACCTTTTAAAAATGGTTCTGTATAGCAATGAAATGAGTTCTTCTATAGTTATGATTCAAAGCACCCTTTCTCAGTGCTAGATAGAACTCATTTTGCTAAGAGTGTATGGATGACTACATTCCAGCATAGTCAGGAGGATAAGTGCATCTCCATTAAGGCTGATCTATGGCTGACAGAACTGAAGCACACAAGTCTGTAGTTGAGGCCATGTTGATGCCATAAAATCCTCTGAAAGTACATGAAGATGACCAGGTTGCTGCTTGTTGTTGCACAAATGTCTGAGAACAGAGCCCTTCTAGGAGCAGCCCATGATGCAGAGATGTCCCTAGTTGAGTGGCCCAATACACTGGCTTTGTCTCAAAACACACACACTATCTAAGCCACTTGTCCTTCTGGGTCACGAGGGGGTACTGGAGCCTATCCCAGTGGTCATTGGGCGGAGGGCAGGAAACACCCTGGACAGGTCGCCAGTCCATTGCAGTGCAGAGTCACAGACATATACAGTCAAACATGCACAGTCACACATAGGGGCAATGTGTCCAATTGGCCTGACTGCATGTCTTTGGACTGTGGGAAGAAACTGGAGCATCCAGAGGAAACAAGGGGAGAACAAGCAAACTCCACACAGAAAGGACCCGGGTCATCCGGACCCAGGCCCTTCTTGCTGTGAGGAAAGAGCGCTACCCACTGCACCACTATGCTGCCCCTTCGACTCAATACAAGCTATGTAAAAATGACCAAGAGACAAGAATAAGTTCACATGATAGCACACCTCTAGACATCTGGATAGATTAATGGCAGCTGCTACTCTATCATATAAAATTAAATGAGAATTATGAGAATTCTATGCCTCCCCTTTGGGTAAGTTTGTCAGATAACTAACAATGAACGGGACAAAGTATGAAATGGGGACACCGGCCGTGTAAAGCTCCATATGCACTCACTGATAGGCAGAGTGTAGTGAAGGAGACACAGGAGAACCAAGCATATAATCTCCAGATATGCTATGACTGGACGAGTGCCAGCAGTATAAATCAGCTATGAAAGAGGTCTTCAAAGCAGTTTGAGGAAACTACAATGTTCAAAAACATGCCAAATATTCAGTGCTGAATTTATGTGCATTAGTCATAAAAATTATTTAACATAAGCATATGTGCCAATGATGGGACATAGAAAGTGCACCAAAAATGAGGACTGTACTCAGAGTCAGTTCTACCACCCAAAACCACTCTCATTACACTCCGAACAATGTAAAAGAATTATAAAGATTCCTAGCGTTTGCCAATTTCTACGGAAGGTTAATCCGTAACTTCAGCTTGTTCACTGCATCCCTCACCACTCTTCTTCAGCAGCAGCGAAAGCCTTTCATGACCTAAAACTTGCTTTCACCTCAGCACCCATTCTTAAACATCCAGACCCATCCAAACCATTCACAGTAGAGGTAGATGCTTCAGAGACCGGAATTGGTGCAGTCTTATCTCAGCGTAGTGGTGACCCCAAAAAGTTGTACCCTGTTGCAAGTCCCACAGAAAGAAACTATGGCATTGTGAGCTTGTGAGCTCCTTGCAGTTAAACTCGCCCAAGAGGAGTGACGTCACTGGTTGGAGGGCGCTGATCACCCGTTCTTAGTGCTCACTGATCACAAGAATTTAGAATATCTTCATTCAGCAAAACATCTAAACCCTAGACAAGTGACAAGAGACAAGGGACAGATGGTCCCTGTTTTTTTCATGCATTCAGTTCAGGACCTCATGGTTCCCGTAATTCTAAGGCAGATGTCATCCACTGTCTGCAATGGATGTCTCTCGCCCATTCTCTAGTTGGAATGTAGAGTGATAATACATTCACTGCTAATCAGGTGAAGATGGAACTGAAAAAACTCAAGCAGTGCAAAGCAGCGGGACCTGATGGCATTGCACCTAGGGTGCTGAAACTGTGTGAGGAGCAGCTGTGTGGAATTCTTCAGCACATCTTTATTCTGAGCTGCAGCCTGAAGAGAGTCCCAGTTATGTGAAAACATCTTGGGTGTTTCCTGTCCCTAAGAAAAGACAACTGATAGCACTGATTGACTATCGATCTGTTGCACATCCTACTTAATAAAGACACCTGAAAGGCTAATGCTAGCTCATCTAAGGACCTCTGGTCAGAACAGCTCTCGACCCTCTGCAGTTTGCATATCAGCACGGCATTGGAGTGGATGATGCAGTTATCTACCTGCTGGACAGAATGTACTCTTACCTGGACACATTGAGTAGCACTGTGAGGATCATGTTCTTCAATTTCTCCAGTGCATTCAACACAATACAGCTTGTGGAGTCAGGAGAGAAGCTACAGCTGATGCAGGTGGATGAATCTATCATCTCATGGATAATGGACTATCTGACTGGACGATCTCAGTATGTGCGACTGCAGGGCTGTGTCTCAGACAAGGCTGTGTCCAGTGTTGGGGCACCCCAGGGGACTGTATTGGCCCCTATTCCTGTTCAACCTGTACACCTCTGACTTCAGGTACAACACAGAGTCGTGTCATCTGCAGAAATTCTCGGATGACACGGCCATTGTGGGGTGCACAAGGAACAGACAGGAGGAGGAATACAGGAAGCTGGTGAAGGACTTTGTTGACTGGTGTAAGATGAACCAGCTGCAGCTAAACATCAGTGAGACTAAGGAGATGGTGCTGAACTTTAGGAAGCCCAAACCTGCCCTGTCACATCACAATTGATGGAGTAGACATGGAGGCCATGGGGACCTACAAGTATCTGGGTGTGCACTTGGGCAACAAATTAGACTGGAACTGTAAAGGCGCCTGTACTCCCTGAGGAAACTTGAGGTCTTTTGGTGTGTGCACTAAGCTCCTATGGACATTCTATCAGTCTGTTGTAGAGAGTGCTTTACTCTATGCTGTTGTTTTCTGGGGCAGCAGCATTAACAAAAGTGCCCTGAATAAATTAAACAAACTTGTTAGGAAGGCTCTGTTGTAGGAGTCAAGCTGGACTCTGGAGGTTGTAGCAGAACAAAGGACTCTCAACAAGCTGTTAGCCATCTTGGACAACACCTCACACCCCCTGCATGCTACACTGGATAAACAGAGAAGCACATTGAGTGGCAGATTGTTACGGCTGCGCTGTGTTAAAGAGCACCAAGTAAGATGTTTCTTACCCACTGCTATAAGGCTCTACAACGAGTCTCCTCACTGCAGAGATGGTACTGATCTCCTGCTGTCTGAACTGTGCTAAACCACATCACTTTATCACCTCTAATTTATCTAATTACAGACAAATCTGTTAAATTCTAGAGAACACATAAGAAAATGCAATACTTTTTAACTCAGCAAACAAGATCCTCGTCTACCAAGCCTACAGTTTAGACAGTTTAATGAATTTTACAAGACAAAACAATTGGTATATTGAACCACAGGTAAGTTAAACAGCATTGGGCATGTGCATTGTTTTAATGTTGAGACGGTAGCTTGTTGTATAACCTTAGAATTCATAGTTGTAGCATGCTGTAATTTTTAATTATTTCTTATTTCAAAATGTAGAAATTCTGTCTAAAGTTTGTGTTTGTAAGAGGAGGATATAGAGACATGTGACAAATTAAAGAAAAAACCTGAACAAATGGGTGGAGAAACATGACAAGTCCTGATGCTTGCTTCAGGATACAATTAAGCAGTCAACATCATACCATACTCTGTGCTCAATTTTGGATATAGATAGAAAAAGGAAAATCAGTGTTTTCTCAACCCTGCACTTTTTGGTGTTTTCATTGCAACAAACTCCCAACACACCTGATTCAACTAAAAAGCTCATAAATAGCCCATTACTGGGTTAAAGTGGGTGTGTTAAATGAGGAAAAGCACTAAAATGTGCAGGACAGCAGGCCTCCAGGGCCAGGCTTGAGAAACACTGTGCTAAATCTTCCTGAAGGTCTTTTGCAGTCAAAGTGGGTTTTGATTTGCCATTCTAGCAATCCTACAAGCAGTTCTCTTGGAAAATTTTCATTGGCTTCCAGACCTCAGCTTGACCTCCACTGTTCCTGTTAACGGCCACTTCTTAATTTCATTATGAACTGAGGAAATGACTACTTGAAAATGACTTGCTGTCTTCTCATAGCTTTCTCCAGCTTTGTGGGCATCAATTATTTTAATTGTCAGTGTGCTAGGCAGCTACATAGATGAGCCCATGGCTGCTAATTGTTGGGACAAGGTTTGAGGAGTCGAGTCACAGTATTTATGAAGCTTTGAAATTTGCCTCATTTGGCCTTTCTTAATGATGGACAAGCCATAGCCCTAACAAGCTAATTAAAGTCTGAGTCTTTGGTAGAAGTTATATGAGAGCTCAAATCACTTGGGGTGGCCAAACGTTTGCATGGTGCACCTTTCTTTATTTACACTTTGAAATTTTATAAAACAAAAATAATACACCAATCTTGCTTAAAAATGTTTCTTTACTCCTCTTCTTTACTCATCGTATACTAACTTAAAACCCCCCAAAAAACAGCAAGAGGGTGCTAATCTATATAACTGGAATACACATCAACAATGCACACTAACAATCACTAATAATCAGTGTAAATAAAATTGCTGCTTCACATAAAGACACCCTGTATAGATTATTAAATAAAATAAAAATGAGAGGAAAAAGAATCACACCAACAAGTTCTCTGTGCTTCACCAACACTATGGTCATATCTATATATAAACATCATGTTGAGCACTGTGTTCTCTCTATAGTACTTCCGATCCCACTTCCTGAGTGGAAAATTCTTTTAGCATTCCACCAGTGATGTTGACTTCCCAAAATTTCGGTGCAGATGACGTATGAAGCACTGGTGCATTCTGAAGGACTATAATCACTCTGTCTGAGCTGAATTATTCCACTCTGTCTCAGCTCCATCGGAGGTTCACTTGTTTTCACTTAAAACATCAACAAAACATTTCACTTGACCAGGAGCGTTTAAAGTTTTAAAAAGGCTAAATGAAGTTGAAAGCTTTTTAAATGTTCTATACTTTGTATTGAGGAAAATGCACAAGATGCATAGCAAATAACCATTTTCTCTTTCATAGATAAGGGTTAATGCACAATTTGTATGATTTTTTGTATGATTTTTTGTATGACTCTGAGAACTTGGGCATGCCACCATGCCCAAGTTCTCAGAGTTCCCCCACATCAGTTGTAAAAAGCACTATACAAATAAATTTGACTTGACTTGACTTGACTCCCTCAATCAACGTCTCCTCAAACTATCACCACACAGTGAAGGCATGGTCTGAACAAATAACTAGCTAGCTAAGCCATCTAATTCTAGTTTCAGTGCTGCTGCTAACCAAAGAGATGAGTATGCTTCAAAGATTGTAATGAAGTACTGTAATAACCACATATTAAGACGTTATATAGCTGTGTAGTAACATTATTTCTTCACACTGCGCTAAAATTAATAGTGAAGGTCTTCATTTAAGATGCTTTATTGATCTTTTACAGAGAAACCTTTGATAACAATCCAAAGAAACACTAGTTTACAAAATACTTTGATATGATTTATTGACAGACATTTATTGATTAAAATACAAAAAATATGAGATTACAGATGCCTTTATACACAGTTGTATGCAAAATTTTAACACCCCTGATCAAAGAACATTTGATCACACTTAAATATGGCATTTTTCTGCCGCTGCTGGTGCAAATTTCCAGTTACTTTTTGAGTTTTATATGTTGGAAAAAAATTTAACATCAAGTATAAAATATTCTAACTTTTTTACAGGCAATATTTATTTTGTTCCCAATATGTTAAATTCTGCAAATAAACAGTAACTGTGCATTTAAATGCGCAGAAATGTGTTTTCTGTAAAGGGTGTGTTCACTTATTTTCACTTAGAACATCAACAAAACATTTCACTTGACCAGGAGTGCCCAAAGTTTTAAAAAGGCTAAATGAAGTTGAAAGCTTTTTAAATGTTCCATACTTTGTATTGAGGAAAATGCACAAGACGCATAGATGGATTTACCATGATGTTAAGAGCAAATAATCATTTTCTCTTTCATAGATAAGGGTTAATGCACAATTTGTATGATTTTTCATCTTTTGTATGTACTGTTAGTGATTCATTAAAAAAAAGGCAAATAATACATAAGAACATAAGAACAATGGGCCTCATTTACCAACCGTTCCTAAAAAAGAAATTCTTCTTAGACCTCACTTAACACAGTTTTCATGAAGATTCTGATATTAACCAATGTTTTCTTTAAGTTTCCCACTCTGAGAACACCTTTCTGCGATGCATGAGCCTTTCAATGCATGTCTGAAAATCTTCTGCAGTTAAATGCCTTCTTTGGCAACATCAAAATGCATCATACCACCCCAAATCATCATATGAGTAGAACCTATGAATACTGCTGCTGATTTTAGTACACTTCTCCCCAAATATGCGGAAATCCCCTTTTCCATACAAATCAGTCAGCTTTTCTTCTAGCTCACTGACTGTCATATTCTGCACTGGATCATTTATGTTCTCTCCTAAGAAACCATGTGAATCTACCACTTGCTGATTGTTGTCTAGACAGCAGTAAGCCGTCCAGAAGTGACTGGGAATACGAACTCTATTCTTTAGAGTATTAGGGCCTGGAACCACCCCGGTGACAATATAGGCCGAATTTGGTAAGCATGTACTGTTCAGAGTTTTAGCCACAGCTTCCTCTGTCTTCTTCCACTGATCGTTGTTGAAAGATCTGTTTTGTGGAGCAGCGTTGGTGAGGGTGAAGGTGGCGTAACTGCAGTTCTGTGACCTGGCGTGGTAGACTGGAGCCAGATGTCCTCTGTCATAGCCTGAATATTCATAGTCTTTTTTAACAGCCTGATTTTGTATCTGGAGCTTGCTGGCTTCAGTTGCCATCTTTGGGCCGAGAACTTCAAGCTGTAATAATTTGTTTAGCGAGAAGAAGAGGTCATTTGTTTAAATGATGAACTAACATCATAACAAAATAAAAATAAACTGCATGTGCACCAAGAAGTGTACAGAACGTACCTGGGGTTCAATATACCAAGTTTCTGTTCTTTTACAACCCATTATACCTTCAAACCTGTAGGCTGAGTACACAGGGATCCTGTTTGCTGTGTCATACAGTGTTGCAAATTCATGTGTGTTAAATCGCATTTGGCAGATTTGTTTGTAATTATTTTCTGTAAATATAGTTGGAGGAGACAGAGTTCCTCCTGGATCAGCAAAGAATTGAGGGCACGTCTGGGTAAAATCAGGTACGACTTCACTGGAACATCCAGAGAGAGCCAGCAGAAACAGGACCGGAGCGAGGAGGATCATGACGGAAATCAGGAAGAGGAACGTGATGCTGGGGAAAAAAAAACGGGTCTACATTCTGGGTTATTAACAGAAAAAAAGGAAAAATAAAAGCTCAGAAGCACTTCTTGAAATACAGGATTAAAAGCACCATGTGGCAAAGAAATACTGGGTTAAAAGTAAAATGTGGCAAATGATATTTTATATTTTGTTTTCTTTCCTCCCCAAAAATAATACATTTAGCAAATAAACAGTAAACGTTTATTAAAATTAAAATTTGCAGGAGTGTGTTCTCTGTAGAGGGTTCACTTATTTTCACTTAAAAAAAAAACAAAGCATTTCATTTGTTCAAACACACAATTGCACACAATTGTATAACTCAAATGGTTAAACTAATTGGCCTAAAAGTGTAAAATTACATAAGTGATTGGTATCCTACAAAAGAATTAACCTCTAAGCACATATTTTTAAAAAGCCTGAAGTACAGATGAGCATAAATGTGAAAGAATCTATCTTACAATGAACTTTTTACACTGTCTGATTTTTGGTTAAAAATCAACAAAACAACAAAAAAGAATTCAAGCTCAGTTCTTACCTGTCAGTCTGCTTGTTTTGGACTCTCTCCTTCAGCTTGCTCAGCACATACTTATATAGGGGCCATCAAGTGTGTATATATAGACATGGAAGTCTTCATCAGTGATGAAAAGTTTTAGGAAACCATATGCTTGGTGAGGAACTTGCTGAGTGGTGCAAAACTTGGTGAGGAACTTGGTGAGGAACTTGCTGAGTGGTACAAAACTTGGTGAGGAACCTTCTGTTAAATTCCATAAATAAACAGTAACTGTGCCTTCAAATGTGCAGAATTGTGTTGTCTGTAGAGGATGTATTGACTTATTTTCACTTAGCACACCAACACAACATGTCACTTGACCAGGAGTGCCCAAAGTTTTAAAAATGCTAAATAAAGTTGAAACCTTTTTAAATGAAAACACACAAGACTCATAGGCCAGATTTATAAAGTGCTGGATTTCCTTCTAGATCCCTGATTGTCTTATTCTGCACTGGATCATTTATGTTCTCTCCTAAGAGTTTGAGCCACAGCTTCCTCTGTTCTCCTCCATTGATCTTGGCTAAAAGACTTGTTTTGTGGGGCGGCGTTGGTGAGGATGAAGGTAGCATAAGAGCAGCTCTTGGACCTTTAATGGTAGACTGGAGTCAGGTGTCCTCTGTCATAGCCTGAATTTTCATAGTCTTCATTGACAGCCTGATTTTGTATCTGGAGCTTGCTGGCATCAGTTGCCATCTTTGGGCCGAGGACTGCAAGCTGTAATAATTTGTCCATTTGTCCATAAGTCCATTTTCTGCCAGAAACATGAAGGGGGTATGCACCTGGAAGTTGCAAACGGAGGTCAAACGTCGCGACAGCTGTCCAGCACCTACCTCATCGCTCTGATGCAGGGACATTCCTGCTTGTTTGAAGCTCCATATACTGAGGAGCACATTGCATGTTGTTTTGTTCAGATTGTTTTGTCCTAGCAAGAGTTATTACAGAATATTCGGGGCCTCTTTCGAGTGAATCCACCTGTACTTTTAATATTAGACAAAGATAACTCAGGTAAACACAAAATACTGTTTTAAAAATTTTCTGTGGACTGATGAATCAAAGGTGGAACTTTTTGGATCACATGGGTCCGTTACATCTGCTGTAAAGCTAACACCGCATTTCATGGGAGGACAATGCGTTATGATTTCTGATTTATGCTAACATATAACATTCCATATTCATCACTGTAGCTAACCAGCTACAGGTAATCAACATTAGCTAACTTACACTGCAAAAAGATTAGCTTAAATACAAGAAACAAACACTGATCTTGAGGAGAAAATGACTTAATACAAGTAAATTATCTCTCAATGCAGCAAGAAAATTTTATTGGACAAGAAATCTTAAAATAAGTTGGTTCCAGTCTAGAAATAAGTAGCTGTGATAAGCATTGAAAGGTCTGAAATAAGTAGAAAATGCTTGTTCTTAGATTAAATTACTTGAGACTTTCTACAGCACATTAATAAGTAAAATACAATCAATATTAGCAAACAATTCTTGATTCAACTTTTGAATTCTTAATTGTAGCACACTGAAAAAAAGGCAATCAAGAAAATAAGTCTCTAAATTTATTGAAAAAAATGAATACTAGTGGAGTGTGATTATTCTGATAATGCAAACAAGTTGGCTCATCTTAAAGAAGGTAGGCCTAAACCCATATTTAACTAAAACTTGTCAAGAGCAATCTTAAAACAGGAAACTCATTTTCCTGAAATCACAACCAGGACTGCAAGTGAAATTTCCATCAACATTTACTGACCTCTGAACAGGGCAAATTTGGACTTGGTGAAACTTTAATTTCTTGGATTAAGCTGCTTTATATGTCTCCACAAGCTAGTGTATGTACCAATTCTGTTCATTCTCCATATTTTCCTCTACAACAAGGTACTTGCCAAGGGTGCCCCTTATCACCACTGCTTTTTGCCATGACACTGGAGCCCCTGTATAGTCTGGCTTGGAGTAGAGAATAGAATATCCCTTTATGCATATGATCTTTGGATATATCTTATTTACCCCTTGTCTTCAATTTCCATGGCAGAATCAATTTTTAAACAATTTGGCATTTTTGGGTTACAAGTAAACTTTTCAAAAAAGTGATTGCTTAATAACCCCTACAACATTAAAGATTTTGGTACAGTTTAGACAGTTTTTCACTTCCAAGCCAAGCTTCTTGGCTGTGTCCCACAAACAAAAAAACACTTATTTATTCCCTCCATCCTGGATGTGATCTTTGCCCATTGGGACAGACCTTGACTTCATTGTTTTAAAGACTTGTATGATGGCAACACTTTCTGTTGCTTCACAATACGATGCTCTAAATCTGAATTTTCTCACAATAATTTGTTACTTTCAAGTCTGTCACTTTGCACAATCACTCTTTCCTTGCTTGGGCTTGAATTTGGTTGAGACACCTGAAAATGCAAATGCCTCCTAATAGACAGTTCAGTCAAAAGTCCTAAGGAGGTGAAAGAGAATCCTTTGTTTTCTAAGTTTAAAGAGAGCAGTGCTCAAGAGCTCACAGGCCAGGTATCATCTGTAATACAAACAGTTCAATGGGGGAGAGCTCCAGTACATCATTCCCAGTCTAAATACTCCCCAGGAGGACACAGGAGACAAAGGAGGTGATGCGAACAACAGGACAGTACGCATACCTGCAACCATTGCTTTAAATGTGGTAGTTGCTGGTCAAAAGGATGCAAAGCAGGGAGCACTGGACGTTCTTTGGGAAACAGACAGCAGTCATGACTGTGGGACAGTTCCTGACATCTCCAAAAATAGTGTCCCATTGCAATGTAGACTTACCAAGAAAGACTGCAGAGTCCCAGCCGAACCATGGCAGACCTGGTTAAAAAGACTTGTTGAAAAACCTGTTATTGGCTTTAATGCAATTGAGGAGATCTAAAAAAGCAGTGAACATGCCAATAGTTAATTCCTGGAAAGTGTGAGGATACCAAGAAAATGTTTGATACTTGGACAAGAAAAGGCTGAAATGCTGTTGAATTTGATTCAAAATAGTATTAACAGTGATGACACTTACCCGTAGAAGACTGGTAAAACTGTTGTAATTCAAAGTGGAAAGCTGAAGCAAGTCACTTGTCTTATGAGAACATTTTGCCTGTTGTTTGGACCAGATGGGATGATTGTCTAGAAATCCCCTGCCAGCTGCTAGGCATCTCCGAGGGTCGCTATCAGTGGAAGTAATACAACTTATCATGACATTCCTCTTCCAGTCAGGGCTGTTAAAGGGTGTGGGCAGAGAGTGAATGACTTATCAAATAATCTTTGAGGAATGTGAAAAAACACAATCATGGCAAAAACTTGTGCACAGAGACCAAAATAGACATTGTGGGATCCATCAATAAATCCGGAACATTTAAAAATTTAACAACAGCTCATTGTGAAACAATTGCTTAGGGAGGCATGCAATGCTTTTGCTCAAAACAAAGATGAGATAGGCTATATTGAAGGTTTGCAAATGAATTCAAACTTACTGATAGTGTCCATGTGGTCAAAACCTACAATGCCATTCCATGTCCATTGTAATAGGAAGTGAAAAATCACATCCGTGACCTACTGAGGAAAGATTTTATCAGACAGTCTACTTCCTCTTATGCATCCACAGTTGTCTGTGTTAGAGAATGTGATGGAGGCCACACAAAATGTGTGGATCACTGAGAGTTAAACAAGACTACCCCAGATAGACACACTATTCCCTATTTAAGAAACCCTTGAGGGCCTAGAAGGTAGCATATGATTCTCAGTTTTAGACCAAGTTACAGCCTATCATCAAGGCAATACCAGTGAGAATTCCAAAAAATACATGGCTTTTACAAATCCCTGGGGTCTGTTTGAATGGAACACAATTCCGTTTGGCCTGACAAATGGACCGTCTGCTTTTCAGCACAGCATAGAGGAAAGTTTGGAGGGTTTGAGGGATGCTCAAAAAGCAATGGAAAACCAGACAGAAAAACATTGAGTCAAGAATCAGCAAGTAAGACAGCCTTTACACCATTGTGAAAATTTGCATGTATCCAGAGAAGGCCTGCTGCAGTGGAAAACAGCAACCCGTACCCAAATAGTACTTCCTAAAAAGTACAGAGAACTAGTTTATCAACATCTGCTTTCGGGTCAGCTGGGGGTAGAGCGTCTTGATTCTCAGTAAAGACAGCTTCTATTGACCTGGAATGCAAAAAAATGACACACATTATGTGAGTTTTACCCCAATTTTAGCCTCGATTCTCGGTCTGGCTTAGTCTGTGCTGGTTGCCTCTAGTCTGCAGATTTTAGGGTCAGTCGGGGTTGATAATTGGAAAGAGAATCGAGTAGTCCGCAAGGGGTGCAGTAGTGTCAGTGCAAACGGCAGAGAAAACAGCAGCAGCAGTGAGGTGCTTCATGGTTGCTTATTTGCCATTTGCTCATAGTAATTGGAAAACATTTCAGTTCCTTTGAGTTCATGTGAGTTTATAGGAGTTCAGTTCAGTCCAGTTCAGCAACAAATTAAAAGTTGAGTAGTGTGTGATCCCCAATATTTCAGTCACCCTGTCAGACACCAGTCAGATAGTGTGAGATGTCCAATCTTTTCTTTCTTATCTGTATCTGTAAAAAGACTTTAAAAGTTGTGTAGTGTACCCAAGGCTTTAGAAAATCACCAAAGATATGCCATTTGACCAGAAGTGACCAGAAGATATGTCATTTGACCAGAAGTGACATAATTACAAGCAACTATACATATACATATATTACAGGAGCTTTTATGACATCCCATTTCTATATCCATAGGCATTTATATGGAGTTGGTCCCCCCTTTGCACCTATAGCAGCTTCCACTCTTCTGGGAAGCTTTCTTTCCACAAGATTTTGGAGAGTGTCTGTGGGAATTTTTGCCCATTCATCCAGAAGAGCTTTTGTGAAGTCAGACACTGATGTTGGATGTCACGTATTTGGCCAGCCAGCCTCCAAACTACGATTCCCAGAATCCTCCGCTTCATCACATGACACCAGGAAGAGCAG